GTCTAACTAACTAGTTTCCCTGAATCTTTTCATAAATGTTACTTGCTCTCACTCGAGCACAGAACACATGCCTCTACTCCAATTAACAATCTCACACAAGTCTGTTGCATGTTCAAACCCCTCTAGCACTGGAAACTTTTTTTTACCCCATCACTCCAACCATTTCTGGGATGATCCCTTCCCCTTTTTGCCTTCCACCCCTGATTTATACACCTTTCTCGCCCAGTCTTTCTCCATCCTCCCTAAATGCCCAAACCACTTCATAGGGGCAACAGCAGAATTTCTATATTGGGAGGCTTTGGGTTGGATATCTGGTGGGAAGGGGAGGCTAGGAGACTTCTCGTGGTAGCATTATTATAATTATTACTATTTTTATTTGCGGGGCTTGGGGGGTGCTGAAATTTTCCCCTTGGTGCTCTCATTACCACTTCAACAACACCTCCAGCCCTTTGAATTATGCCTTTGGTAACACCACACTGTCTTCAAATTTTGTGTATAAAGGCCAAAATGCTCCTCCCACTTAAATTACATCATATTTAGTTTAATTTCAACCTGACTTCTTTTATTTATATATTCTTGAGGGACAATTTTATTTTTTAAAGAAAGAACAGTGTTCAACAAAAAAAATTACATACGTTTTCCTCAGTTTGAGGGTTCAGGTCATTGACTTGTAGCCATTGTCAAACTACTTTGCCAAAAATCATGGGTCTTCTCTTTTCTCTGTGTACTTATGTTTTATTAAATAAAATTATTACATTTTCTCTGTGCTGAAATTTATTGAAATTAACTACACATTCTTTATGGTAGAATTATAAGGCATGGTGTGAATGTAGTATTTCTTTCTTTCATACTGTATTATTATGCAGAATTGATTTGTAATTATATAGCTCACTATTTTAGCATAAATTTTTCTATGGACAGAGCTTATGCAGCACGAGGTGTTTATCGAAGAATGGTGGTGGTGCCCACAAATACGTCTGGAAAAATATGTTACTACAGGGATGCATCCAAATCACTACTGCAGTCAGATATGGACAAGTTGTGGGGAATTAAAGTTGAGGACAACATTCTTAAAGGTAACAATTTAAAACAATTGAATTTTTTTAATTCTTTCTTCCTATTTATTTTTAATCTTTTAACTGTAAAAATATAGCTCTACATTCTTACTGTTAGCCCTCCAAATGTAGATCTGTGTTTTATTTTTCCTGCCTTCAAATTTGGCACAATAGGTCCAAGAGGCCTAGGCTGTATAGAATGGGTCTTAACACTCAGTGTGTGCAGTATTAAAAAAATCTTGGACCACTTAGCACCTTGGGGGATCACCAGGTCAATTGAGCACTAACTAGAGCAAACAGTGTGGCAAATCTCAGGAATTCACTTAACATTATGTCGTATTAACTCCTTTTTCTACGAAAGTGATGTTAACCCTGACTTTAGTGGCTTTGAGATGGATGTGGCCACCATCAGTAATGTAGAGTGACACGGCATCAAGGATTTGATACACTTCAGCACATCTAAAGACATTGCTGGGACCAGTAAATGTGACCAAGGCAGGTGAACATGTTCACCTGTCAGTGTGTTTGTGACTGATTACTATTTCCATACCTAATATTTGTGATTATCAGAACATAGAAACTGCATAAATAAAAAAAAAATGAAAAGTTATATTGGCAACATTTCTGCAAGCTGCAGAACACTCATTCAGAGCACTAGCAGAGATGCTGAGATCAAAGCTGTGACAGTTAGAGGCTTAAAGAATAAAAAAAAAGGTATTAAGTCACTGGAACTATACACAAATAACCCTCACATAGGAGACTGAAATTTATGACGATATTTCAGTCTAGCTTGGACCATTCATTGGGTTATTTTTTTTTTTTTTCAACAGTGGCCTTCTCCCACCAAGGCAGTGGTGACACTACAGAGAAAACACATTCGCCAATGTTCACTCAGTACACTTCTGGATTGATGGTGACTGACATCACAATCATATTACCCTTCCAACTGCAACATCCAGACATTCCACTACCCAGTCCTGTGATAAATGCAACCAAAAATGTTTCCTCCTCGGTTGTTTCAAGATGATCAAAATGTTATACAGTGGAACCTCGGCTTACGAATGCCCCACGATGCAAATTTTTCAGGATACAAACTGTCGTTTGGTAGATTTTTTGCTTCTGGATACGAACGAAATTTCAAGATGCGAACTTCCCTCTCAAGGAAGGTTTCTTAAATAAATAAATAAATAAAATATTTATTTCTTTGCTAAGGTTACAATGTGTGTTTACATATCATAATATGATTGGAGCACAGAAAGTAAGTATCATGCCGAGGCATATCGAGGAGACTTTACCTAATACTAATAGACTACTTACGTCTAGACAGGTGAAAAGTGTACAGTGGACCCCCACATAGCGATATTAATCCGTGCAAGAGAGCTCATTGTTATGCGAAATTATCGTTATGCGAATGAATTTTCCCCATAAGAAATAATGGAAATCAAATTAATCCGTGCAAGACACCCCAAAGTATGAAAAAAAAATTTTTTACTACATGAAATATTAATTTTAATACACACAAACTGAAAAAGGCATGCACAATTACATGACACTTACTTTTATTGAAGATCTGGTGATGATTGATGGGATGGGAGGAGGAGAGAGTATTAGTGTTTAGAAGGGGAATCCCCTTCCATTAAGACTTGAGGTGTCAAGTCCTTTTCTGGGGTTACTTCCCTTCTTCTTTTAATGCCTAGGGACCAGCTTCAGAGTCACTGGAGTTCTTGTCGCACAAAAATATCTGTCCATAGTGGCCTGTACCTCTCGTTCCTTTATGACTTCCCTAAAGTGTTTCACAACATTGTCAGTGTAATAGTCACCAGCACGGCTTGCAATAGCCGTGTGAGGGTGATTTTCATCCATGAAGGTTTGCACTTCAAGCCACTTTGCACAGATTTCCTTAATCTTTGTAGTAGGCAATTTCTTCAATTTCTCTCTCCCCTCCAAACCAGTTTCCTCAGGTCTGGCCTCTTGCTCTTGAAGTTGATCTATCAGCTCATCAGTGGTTAGCTCTTCATTGTCCTCCTCCACCAACTCTTCCACATCATCCCCACTAACCTCCAACCCCAAGGACTTTCCCAATGCCATAATGGATTCCTCAACTGGCATAGGATTCTCAGGGTTAGCCTGAAACCCTTCAAAATCCCTTTGGTCTACACATTCTGGCCACAGTTTCTTCCAAGCAGAGTTCAAGGTCCTCTTAGTCACTCCCTCCCAAGCCTTACCTATAAGGTTTACACAATTGAGGATATTAAAGTGATCTCTCCAAAAGTCTCTTAGAGTCAGTTGAGTTTCTGAGGTCACTACAAAGCACCTTTCAAACAGAGCTTTTGTGTACAGTTTTTTGAAGTTTGCAATAACCTGCAGTTGAGGGGCTGCAGGAGAGGATTGGATTAGGAGGAAAAAATTCCCCTTAATGAATTTCATGTCCCCAAAAAGGGTCCCCTTGCCACGTCGTGGGAAAGCCCCGGGGGCATTGTCTAACCCCAGGAGGCACTAAGTTCTAATTTTTTTTCCCTTGGGGTAATTTTTTCACCTTTGGGGGAAAATGATGGTGTAACCAGTTTTAAAAAAAGTCCCTGGTGCCCCAAAGCCTTCCTGTTTGCCCTCCACAGCAAAAAAAATTTTTCCCTTTGAGGCCCTTTTTTTGCCTAAACTGCCCGGGGGATTTTCCCGATGATCCACTAAAAAAGGGCTTCACTTTGCAACACCAGTACCCTTTTGGAACAAAACAACAGGGGAACCCCGTCTTTCAGGCTTATGTCCTGGGAGTGCCTTTTCCCCCTGAGTAATGTAGGTCCTGTTGGCATTTTTTTCCCAAAAACGGGCCTTTTCATAAAATTTAAACACTTGTTCAGGTTTCAGCCCTTGGGTTTTTATGTACTCCTTGTTTCCCTGCCCCTATTTTTCAGCTGTTTGGGGCCCTGAACTGGCGGGCCCCTCACCATCCCTTAATCACACTATGTATGCCACTACGCTCTTAAATCTCTAAAAACCCAACCTTTGTTTGGCCCTTAAATTCAACTCACTCATCCCTGTTGGGGCTTTTTTTCCAAATTTTAAATCGCATGAAAATTCCCTACCTTTTCATTATGATACTTGAGAGATGCAATCCCTGTATCTTTTTTTCCCTTATTATTTTATAAAAATAAAAAAAGAAGCGCTAAGCCACAAGGACAAATAAAAGAAAAATAAATAAAAAAAAGGCACAAAAACCGTAAAGGAACAAATACACAAATAACCCGCCCCAAAAAAGACAGAAGCTTACGAGGGAGTTTCGGTCCGACTTGGACATTGACAAAGTCAACTAACAGAGGGGGGAAGAACGGCTATATATAGGCGGAAGAGGTGGAGGTAAAAGTAGTGGTAAAAGAGTATAGTAGTAGTCCCAAAAATTTGTAAAAATCCCGACAGGATGAAATACACATGACAACCCCGGGCACCCCCACCGTAGCGTTTCGCCACCCCACCCAAACCACTGGTGGCGAAACGTCTACAAAAAGACAACCAGCCCCGACATGTTTTAAATTTTTATCAGTAGTTTGTGTGGAAGAAGAAGGGGAAAGTATTAGGGTAGGGAGAAGGGGGAAAAATAAGGAAGAAAAGCCAGTAAAATTAAAAAGGAAGGGGGCATTTGCAAGAGAGCTAAAAACCCCAAGGGGAAAAAAGGGGGGAGGAAAGCGCCCCGAGGTGGTAAAGGGGGGAAATTTGGTGAAAAAAATAAAGAAGGAACAAAAAACAAGGGACGGGGGAGAAAAAAGAAAACCCCCTTTTCCCTTTCTTTCCTTTTCTCCTCTGGGTTGTTTTTCTCTCCCCTGTCCCCTTTTTTTCCTTTTCCCTTTTTTATTTTATTTCACCCCCCCCCCTTTCCGCACCCGGTGCGTTTTGCTCCCCCCCTCTGGGGGTTTCTGCTCTCTTGCAGTGTCCCCTTCCTTTGTATTTAAACGGGGCCTTTCTTCCTTTTTTCCCCATTCTCCCAAAAACCACTACTACTACCTCTTTTCTTCCCCAACATCAAAATGATGAAATTAGAACATGTGGGCGTCTGGTTTTTTTTGGTTGTGACGTTTCGCCACCCAGGGGGCTGGTGGATGGCGAAACGTCTACGGTGGGGTTCCCCGGGTGTTGTGGCATGGTCATTTCTTTCCTGTCGGTTTTATATACAATTCTTGTACAATCTACAAACTACTTCTACCATAAAATACCCCCAAACCTCTTCCTTATATATAGCCTTTTCCCCCTCCTCGGGTTAGTGTGATTTTGGGTTCAAGGGGTCCGGGTCGGACCGAAACGTCGTCGTAACTTCTGTTTTTTAGTGGGGTTTTTATGTGTACTATACAGAAAAGGGTTTTTCCCATTTATCCACACCAATAAGAGTTTTAAACATCTTCCACACTTGCGATCCTGTTTAAAAAAACAAATTTTAAACCCTTTTGGGAAAAGAAATCTTCTTGTTTGCCTTTTTGTTCCCCCACAATAGTAGCGAGGGTTTTGTTTGGGGGTTTTACTAAAAAACCCGGGCCCGTCGGAACCCCCACTCCACTTTCAACTTATCAATATTCTTTCTTATCTCTTTTTAATTTAATTCTAAACCCTTTTTGCGTGGGTTGGCACTGAAGCTTTTTTGGGGGCCCATGGTCATTATTTTGCAGATAAAATCCCCAGAAAAAACTGTAAAAATACAAAAATTTTCCCCAAATTGTATGCTTGGATTTTTACCACGGAGGCTGGCTGGAAAAACAATGCCCCCGGCGGAACGTGGGGCTGGCTAAGGGCAAACATTAGCCCGAATGGGACGAACAGCGTTGATTATTATTATTTTTTATAACCCAAGGGGGGGAAGCACAAAACCCGTGGGATTATACAGCCCCAAAGGGGGGGTTTGGGGGGAAATTTCCCGGTTTAAAATTCAGGGAACTGGACACGACCCAATTTCCCCTAGATCAAGAGCCCCCACCAGCGTGGGGGCCCTTTCCCTTTGAGGGGACGAACAGCGTTGAGGGGGTTTTTTTTAGCGGTTATCAGGAAAATTTTGGGGGGGGGAAATAAAATGTAGGGGTTTAATGGGGATTTTAACGTTATGTGTTGCCAAGGGTTTATGGGGGGGGGGTCC